TAAATCTTGGAAGCAACCCAAATGCCCATCAAATAATGAGTGTATTAAAAAGAAGGTGGTTTTTCATTCAGTGGAGTACTACTCATCCACAAAGAAAGGTAAAGTTGAGACATGTATAGCTAAATGGATGGAACTTGAAGACATAATGTTAAATGAAATAAATTGGATACACATGTGTAACTATCATATCGCCTCTCTGATGTGAGAAACTGAAAGTGTAAATGAGAAACAAAATATGTAATAGATATAGTGAAATTGGAAGAAATTGTTCAAAAGAAAAGTGGAACTGGCAGGGGGAAGGAAATGAAAAAGATTCTAAAAAGGAAAGAATGGCAACAAAGCTTTGAAAAAGGAGGGGACAAGGGTTTGAGCAGAGGCGAGTGGGGAAAAAGAGCAACGAAGAGATATCATCTACAGGTACAAATTGCTTATGATGAATGTGATCACTATGTTTATCTAAATTGTACCAATAAACTTAATAAAAATAAAAAGAGTCCATATTATTTTACTTTATGAAGAGTAGTGTATTATTCACAAACTAAATTGCAACCCAAATCCAGTATCAGTAAAATATTTCCAACCACCATGTAGTTTTTTAATACTGTGCTCTAGTAATTGAAAATTCAGTAATGTAGAGGCATGTAGATAATTTCAGACTCAAAATTTCTTGAAGACTGAAGAGAAAGCAAAAATCTCTGCTGTGCATACTTTATAGAAGGCAGAGTAGCACAAGTCTTCACTGATACTTGCTCTTGTACTTAAATATGTAGTCATCATATTTTTTCACCAACAGTTCAAGTTTCCTCTGAGCTAGCACAAATGAGATCTAACAGGCCCTAGTTACTAGTAATTTAAAATAACACAACATATATCTGATATATTCAACACAGAACAAATAAATATTAAGCCCTTCAAACTTGTCTTATTTATTTCTTTATATCTGTCCACAGCTTTAATGTATCTGGCTACAGTTGTGTTGTTTGTCCATAACACAAATCATATTGAACATTAACCATATGCTGTGCATACAGAGCTTAATAAGTTAATTAATTCACTGTGTCAATAATCTCAAAGTTTGCTGGTAAGGAAAGATTAAGAAATACTGAAATAAGGATATGGAAAACATTTTATAGAAATACAGAGAACTGAATGATTAATTTGCTGTAGAGTATGAGCAAAGGGAAGGTATGGGAGGGAAATATAAATTCAAAAATACTTTACAGAACTTCAAGTAGGGTAGAATATTTGGCATCAGGAAGACCTAGTTTTAATTCTAGATTATCCATTTACTTTTTTCTTTTTTTGGTACTGGAAATCAAACTTGAGACCTTGTGCTTGCCAGGAGGCACTTATGCCATTGAGCTATATCCCTGGCCGCTAGATTTCCCATTTCATAGTTATGAGGTCATGGAGAACATTTTTGAACGTGTCCCCAGCTCAAATTCACTGTGCATAAAATAGAGGTGATACCTTTTTCATTCCTTTGTGGGGCTCCTGTTATTGGATGTACTGCGATACTAGGTCAATGCATGGAGTGGATGAAGTAAGCTCCTATTCCAACTTGCAGCTCCAGTAACATATTTAATATATTACCCTTGGATAGAGGATATATCAGATATTAAACTAATAAGAACACATACTACACTTGATCTTAGCGAAAAGGCTGAGCAGTGATTAGGTGATACAACTTTTCACAAATTGTCATGAAGGCTGGATGAGTTCATGAAGGACATACGCCTGGTGAATAGTAGGCTTTATATAAATAGTAGTAGTTATTATTGATTGCTATTAAAAAAAACTGTATAAGAATGCCTAGGATAGGGAAGAGGCAATAGTAAGTGCATTGATCTTATTGGAGTATGTGGTGCTAGACAGTAAAGATGAAGCTAGAAAGATAGTACCTGGATGGTGAAAATGTCTTCAGTGAGAGACAGGGGGTTTGTATATTTTACTGGATGTGATGGAGAATCTTTCAAGAATTTTTTTCACTGTGCTTACACTGGGGAAGATGATTTGGCAGGCAAGAGGAAGCATGAATGAATGAATGGATGAATTAATTAATTAATTTAAGACAGGTTCTTGCTGTGCAGTTCAGGCTGGCCCTGAACTCACTTTGTAGTCCAGGCTGGTCTCGAACTCAGGGCAATCCTCCTGCCTCAGCCTCCTGAGGACTGGGATTAGAGGCATGCACCACAACACCTAGCCTGTCAAGCATAAATTTAGATTCCAAAAGACCAAGTAGAAAAGTAGAACATCAGTTCAAGTGAACACTGATCTGAGGCAATGGGAAAGAAGCAGACATTAAAAAATATATGGGATCGAGTTAAAAAGACTTGATAACTCATGAAGAGTTGTAAGATAGTAGAGGCTAGTAAAAGCATAGAGTTGATGAGGGTTTTTAAAATTTTTATTAGTATGTTTTTGCAACAAACAATGAATATATTCATCATAGGGTATTGACACATCTACACACCACATCTTGATTCTTTTTACTTTCTCTTCCTGTATTCTGCCTCCCCTCTCCCTTCTTCTCTTGGTCCCATTCCTATTTGGAAAAGATCTATCTCCCTGTTTCCTATCATCTGTCTTTTATTTCACTCTTTAAATTATTTATACATTCAGTTTCTCATATAAATCAAACCGGGCAATATTTAAGCTTGTTTTTTGAATCATACCACTGAGTTCTTCATTTTACCACTAACCTTTAGTTAACTATATATTTATAAAGATATTTCTAATTCACACAGCTTTAAATACTCTATCAAATTTATGTATTACCTTATAATGGTAAATGTTCTAAAAAGAATATTTAAGCTACTTCAGTTCTAGTACCTCTCCCTCAGCCCCCAGCTTGTAACAGAACATTATATCCTTACACCAACACTTGTGTGTAAATCTTGCCTTATTAAAAATTGTGTCTTATTTTGTTAAATCATTTTGTTGAAATCCAATTCTATATTTTGGAAAGGTAACAATGATTTTATCTTAATTAACAAGAATTTAGATTTTTTTTGAAGATCTGAAATCCTCATTTTATATTTCCTATTACTTGTTATATCATTATTTATTTATTGCATTTATTCAATACATGAATCTGTAAATTAAAAAAAAATTTAAGCTTGCGTGTCTAACTTATTTCACTTAACAGTATGGTTTCAGGATGGGGCTGTTTTCTTCAAAATGTCTCAAATTACCTTCTGGGTCTGTTTTCTTCAAAATGTCTCAAATTACCTTCTGTATGATATATAGATAGATAGATAGGTAGATAGATAGATATATCTTTATCCATTCAGTTGATGAGTATATGGGCCTCCTCCATAATTTATGTATTAAAAATTGTGCTACTATAAACATGGATATGCATATATCACTGTAATAGGATGTATTTAACTCAGGAGTATACTGAGAAGAGGCATGGTTGGATGAAACAGAATTTCTTTTTTTTCTTTTTTCTTTTTTTAGTTTTTTGATGATGCTCCATAGTGATTTCCAAAGCTTTTGTGCTAGTTTACATTTTCAACATCAATGAGCAAGGGTTTTTGAGCAGGGGAATGAGACTTAGAGTAGAAAATGATTGTCCTTAATCACAAACACTTAGAGCTCAGGCAGACATAAATTTATTCAGTTGCTTGTACATGTACAGTCACACATTTTCAAGGTTTTTTTTTTTTTTGGTTTTTCTCCGGTACCGGGAACTGAACTCATGACCTTGCGCTTGCCAGGCAGGCGCTTTTGCCGCTGAGCTAAATCCCCAGCTCCTGCATTTTCAAGGTTTCTAGCCCCATGCACTCACTACTTTCTAAGCTTTCACTTTTACAGAATTATATTCTAAACCTCACTTTCACCCTGGATTTGAAGCAAAGTAAGTGGAAGCACAATTAATGATCCTTATTTCTAATGCACGGCCAACTTCCATGTCCAGCGCTTCGTTATCGCCCAAAGCCCAGTGGTGAAATAAACAGGAGGCACAGTTCAGTGATCTTCAAGAGCACAACACAACAGCCCTAGATGTACAAGGGTGAAATAATATGTGTGTTTTGTGGAATGTTGGAAACCTCTCCAAGGTACTGAGCTGCCTTAGCCTCTCTTACAATTGCACTTACAGGTCTTTTTGAAGAATGAGAGGTGGAATAGCTCTTTTAGTTGGAGTTCTACAGTGTTTTACTGAAAAGGGTTTTGATCATCCATTTCCTGTGTAAGAAACTGACTACTTCATCACCACTGTATTGTTAAGAGCTGAGTATAGTTTGGGGCTTAGTGTAGTAGAGAATTATGACTTGGAGACAACATGAAGATTATAATTATTGTCACCATGAATCCAGTATTCTCGTAGCGGGATGAGAGACAAGTAAGTATCGGACACCCTGCTTTCCTTGCCGCAAGAAGAGTCCAATTAGAGGCCTCTGTGTGTGTGTGTGTGTGTGTGTGTGTGTGTGTGTGTCCACTAGAAACATGTGCTATCAGTAGTGGGGGCAAACATTGGAGCATCAGAGGGACAAGCAGGGATTGGGTTCCTAGTGAGCACAGGTATGTTATTATCTTTTAAAAACATTTTCTTCCCTCTAGCTTCTACGGGAGTCATTTATAATAGACTAAAATTCTGTCCCAAGGATTTATCACCAAGTATTGAAATAAACGTGGTTTGGTATAGGACCACAGTTTTTCCTGAGCCCTGAAAACAGTTACTCCTATAGTCTTCCCCTAGCCCTGAGTCCTCAAACGTTGAGTGGGGTGTTCTCTGTTTCCCGCAACCTTTTTGTGAATTCTCCCCTGAGCAAGACAGTTCAGTTGTCTTGAGAGAGCCTGCTGAGCATGTGTGAAGAGAACTGCGCATGCTCGGTGGAGTGGGCAGGTTTACCGAGACGCCAGCAGTGTCTTTTACTACTCTTCACCCGCCTCCCCCACGCAGCACGTCCCCTCCCTTCTTTCCCACCATCACCACGCAGTCCCCCGCACCCACCCCGCCCCTCTATTCCACCCCCAGCCCCACCCCCACCGCAGGCTGGGGAATCTCCATTGACGTTCGGGTGACGCCGCTGTAGGGGGTTCCAAGCGCTGCACAGGTAACGCTGTAGCCGCCATATTGGCAGAGCGGGGAGCCGGGAGCGGGGAGCTGCGGGGGCGCTCCAAGAAGCGGGGTGACGGGGCGGGGGGAGTCACTCACTGTCTAGCGGCCGACAAGCGTGCGGCAGTAGCGAGCGCGAGCCGAGCGGCCGCTCTCGCGGACTCAGCACGGAGTTGACTTCTGCAGAGGAGCAGCAGCGTGCGGCGGAGACTCGCAGCTCCCAGCGTCTGAGGGACCCTGAGCATGGGCAGTGGTCGCTGAAGGCAGGGTAGGGGCTTAGCGGCGGTTGCGGCAGCGAGGGCAGTACCAGCGAGCCGGCTTATTAGACAGGATGCTCGGCTGCGCTGACAGTCGGCGGCTCCAGTTCGATTTTTCCTGAAGGGGCGATGCTGCCTTTCGCTCCTCAGGACGAGCGGTGGAACCAAGAAATGGAGGTGTGCGGCGGCGGCACAAGGAGTGGCGAGGTTAGTGTGGTGGCCGAGATAGGCTGGACCCAACTACCCTTTTTATTAGAACCCTGGCCGTGGCCCGAGAGTGAAAGAGAGCAGAGTGCGAGGGCAAGCCCCCTTGAAGCTGCCGGGGGGCGGAGCACTCGCTACCCAAACTGTGCTGTCCTTGGGGAGGCAGCAGGCTCCAGCGTGCAAAATGAGTGAAGCCGGGTCCGGGCATGGCCTCACAGGCCGCGCTGGAATTGTAAGTTTCCTCACTTTGCAATTTCAAGTGAAACTGACGGGAGTTCAGAGTGCTGTGGGCGGCTCCGCGCGTCCCTCTTTCACCACCTTGCTGGATTTGCTCTCTGGGAAAGCTGGGAGGTAGTGGTGCTCTACAGGTCACTGTTGAACCCTGGGCGTTTTATAAACCTGGTATGACAAAAACAGTAAGGTGATGAAGTAAACGTGGGGACCAGTGTTCTTTGGTAACTTACCTTTTTTGTATCTGTGTGGCTTATTATAGTTTTGAACACCCCAAGTCTAGACTGGAGGCTGGGTTTATCTATATTCAGGTGATGGTCTGCTGTTCATCTCCCTTCATCTTTACCACTTGCTGTAATCGCCCCTTTGGTCGGTAAAAGAAGAGGCAGAGTAAACCTCTGCCCTCACAGGACGGATATTTAGTAGTAGCAAGGTCCAGTCATAATATTTTGTTTTCTCACTCTGTTCTGTTCGGCTTTGGTTCACTGCGCCGTGAGAAATTAGATGTTCACAGGAACTTTGTTGTTACAAAAAATGGGCAGCGTTTAAACACAAAAACATGTCTATTGTGTTAGAGTATGGGATGGGATCTTTTTCTGGCAACCTAATAGCATACTACTCCGGTAGACGCCACCATACACCTCCTAAAAATATTTAATGAATGCCACCAAATTGATTCACAGTAGGATATTTTGAGGTAAGACACCCACTCCTTGACATCTCAAGGGTGCAACTTTGTGTTCTAGTACTTGCGCTATCTTTAAAACCACGTTTTGAAATGTTATATGGCTATGTTGTTCTTTTTTAAAAAAAATTGTAACTAAACTAGGGTTAGACTACATATTGGAATAGCATGTAAGAAGAAATGGAATGGAAATAAATTCAGAAGTGTGCTGAAGTTGAATCCTTTATACTTACAGGAACATTGTAGGAAATATTTTATTAGTAAACTAAGCAATTCCAAAACACTTTTTAATATTTTATATCTCTTAAGAATGGGAACAATGAAAAGGGGTTAATTTCTTGAAATATGTAAACACTGACTTATTGCCTTTGTTAGCAAGATTGTTCAAGAGGAAAGGGAGTTTATTTCATGTATGCAATCTATTGATTTATTGTCACAGACATTTACTTCATAAAAACAGTTAAATGTTTTAACATAAGGGTGGGATGAAAGATGGGGAGCTTTTCACATACCTACTACTTTGTTAACTTTCAGTGTATTATGTTCAATTGTAATTACCACATTTTTTATTGCTTGCAATACATTTTTAGATATTGTACAGATTTAACAAGTCTCTCTACCTCAGCAATTTGGAAACATATTCAAATGGAAATTGTTAATCCTATGAAGTAAAATGAAAGGTAAAGATAATGTGGTTTATGTAGTGTTTTTAACTTTTTTGTCTAAAACAGTTATGATTACTTAGATTTAACCCTGCAAGTGACTTAATTAAAAATACTGTAGGTGAAAATTTAATCCTCCATTTGACAGATCACTTGAGTATTTAGAAGAGTTTTTATTTGTTTTAATGACCATTCATTGATAAGAAGTGAGCAGTTTCACTTCCCAGAATTTTACATGCTCATTGATGTGAGCTTTAGAAATGCTAAATTTTGAGTATGAACTTTACAGCCTTCAGTTGTGGTAGGTTTTAGGACTAAGGTGTTTTCATTGTATGATTTTCATTTTTTAAATGTGGTAGAATCTTTACAAAAAATTTAGGTAAGAATCGGTTAAATTTAATGGCATAAGAAATAATTGCCAATTTGTGTGTGTTGAACTCTGGTAGCACTAAAGATTATAGACATTACCATATATTTTGCAGTTATTTGCCCCGCCTTTTATCAGTCTTGCTTCAGTGGTGTTATGGTTTAGATATGAAAGTCTCCTATTCAGAAGTGAGGATTTTGGAAAGTGACTGGATCATAGGGGTGCTATACTCATCAGTGGATTACACCATTGATGAGTTTATAGCTGACATTGCTGTTCAAAGTTGGGGCCTGTCAGAAGTGGCAGGTCTCTAGGCACATAACCTGGAAGAGTGTATTCTTGTCCCTGACTCCTCCCCCAACCTTTCTGTTTCCTGGCTGCCATGCATTGAACAGCTTTCCTCTGCCATGTCATTCAACATGCTGTTTCTGCCTTGAAACCAGCAAATCATGGACTGAATCCCCTAAAAATCATAAGCAAAGATATACCTCTCCATCTTTAAGTTGTGGGTGTTGGATATTTTGTCCTAGTTATGGAAAAGAGACAAAGACAGAAAATTGGTACCAGATGTGGGGTCATTTCTGTGACTACTTGATGATGTAGTTTAAAATTGTTTGGAACTAGTTTTGGGGACAAGGTTGGAAAGGCTTGGAAATGCGGGCTAGCAAAATCCTATTGTTAGTCACTTTCTTATCCTGAAGACACACCACCGGACTCATAAGGAGGAGAGGTGCAATTTTGCTCATGATTTTTAATGGATTCAGTCCATAGTTGGCCTGCTTCAGGGCAGGAAGGGAATGCTGAAAGGACCTGGCATGGAGGAAGAGTGCTCACATCAAGGCACCTGGGTAGTAGAGAGTAAAGAGAAGGGCCAGGGAGGGTTGTGTATCCTTTTAGGTCACAACCCAGTGACTTGCCTCTTCCCAACAGCATATTCAGCTCTGAACCTGTGATCTAATTATCTTCTAATAGGCTTATCTCTGAACATGTGAGGCCTTGCTGGGACTTCCTATATCTAAACTGTATCACCCTAGAATGATGTAAACAGAATTTAACTGGTGATTCTGTTTTAATCTCAGAAGATCAAAAGGGTAACGGGAATGTGAATAATAAAAACCAGGCTCATGAAGTTGCAGAAAGGAATGAGGGCTGTATTGGAAATGACTAGAAGCTGTTCAGGTTTCATTTTGGCAAATAATTTTTCTATGTTTTGACCATGTCCTAAGACTTTGTGTGTGGCTGAGTTTAAGGTAGAGGAACCTTAATCTGGTGGAGGAACTTTCAAGGCAGCCCAGTATTAAGGCTGTACATGGATATTACTGGCTGCCTTTAACCATCTTATTTTCCCACTGGTGGCAGACCTTGGTGCTGTCCATTGGTACTAGTTTTGCAGCCGTGCAGTATGAAAGAGCTGTGATGTGATGAAGGCTTTCACCTGTTTCAGAAGTCCTGTGAGGCCATATAGTATGCCTGTGAGAGGGCGCTGAGTATCGCTCTGATAGTGAAACCAAAAGTTCAGTGGGAATCCCAGGAAGTTAGAGATGTCAGGAATGAGGAAGATCCACGGAGTTAAACTACAAGCAGCAAATGTCCTTTATTCTTAAAGGAGTGCAAAAGGCGAAGTGTCCCCCTTCAGTAACTGCTTCAGGCTAAGGAGGGGTATTGATCCTGGCTAGCCAGGAACTGAAAGTCTCATCTTACTGATCTAAAGGAGATGTGGGAATATCTGTTGAAGAACTATTATTTTTGATAGTCTGAAGAAGAGGGAAAGGATATGGGAGATATTAGATTACAGCAAGAATGAATCCTGTAACAGAGGAGAATACCAGTGTACAGTATCATAGCCAGAAAAATGAGACCTTTCTTCCCACCAAGTTGTTCCATGGAATCAGGATGCTAGTCCATCATTAAACCTTACGGCACAGACTGACACAGCATTGATTTGTGAACATAGATCATGAAATGCAGATGACACATTTGCAAAGTTGTCAGGAGTGTACACAAAACACTGTGTTTTGGTAATGGCACAGGTTCCCCCTTGTGCTGCTGTTAGAAACGCTATTTGGTTTGTAGAATGGATTTTCTCATCACTTTTACTTCCAACTTTAATAATGGTGTGACCTCAATGTGTATAGTTAGTAAGAGATTCAATGTGCTACATTACGTCCTATAGTTCTATTGATATAGGAGAAATATAACTCCCAATCTGCAAGATGGCAGGTGTGGCCAGTTCATGTCCCCTGAAATTAAAGAATTAATTCCAAGGAACAATGTAGGGTAAGAGTAGGAAAACTTTATTGAGAGATAACTTTTAAAGACAGGAGGGGTCCTGTCTAGGTTGCCACCGAGGCCCTTTGTCAGGGGTAATTTATACAGCAAAGTCACAATGTGGGTACAATGTGGGTCAAACTATAATCAACCAATAAGATCACAAATACAGTGGTGCTTCAGTTTATGAACACTTTTGTTTGTAAACAGTTTGTTCTGCAAACAGAAGCATTTGGCAAAATTTTGCTTTTGTCAACTCTGCGTTGAGTGACAAACCCAACTGTGCCCATCTTCCCAAAATGAACACAAATGTGGCCATCTTTTCCAGAATTATGGAATGAATTAAGTTCATGAACCAAGGTGCTGCTGTGTAGCTGCTTAGCCAATACTGATCATTGGGGAAGCAGGGCATATATCCAGGGTATATGGCTGACAACATTTACTTTGGCTTATCTTTGGCTTCTAAAACAGGAACATTTTGGGGAGGGATGGGTCTAGGTGTTGTAGTTACCCACCTGGGTGTCTGTGGATTTAAAATGCCCAATATGTCTAGTGATCAGTGATACTGAACATTTATTCATGTATTTATTTGCTATTTGTACTTCTTCATCTGAGAAGTATCAGTTCATTTCAGATGCCTATTTTGGGGTTGGGTCTTTAAATTTGGAGGATCTGACTTTTTTGAGTTCTGTATTTATTCTAGATGTTAGTCCTTTGAAGAGTTGCTGGTAAGTATTTTTTCCCATTTTGTGAGTTGTCTATTGATTCTATTAGTGGTTTCTTTTGCTCT